ATCTTGAATTTATGATCTTTACATTAATTATGAATGTCAAATGAGCATTGTGTACCTATTATAGTATGTATTTTAATCTTTTGATCTGATTTATGGCCTTTATCTAAATTATTTTCAAAAAATTAATTTTATCCGTTATAATTTACATTATTTTTATTTTTTACAGGTGGGCTTAAAAGAAGGTTTAAAAATGACWATTAATTACTTTAAACAAGAAATAAAGAAATCACAAAAAAATGTTTGATGTATAATATTATTATATTATTTATGAGTTATTAAATTTTATTTCAACTTATGTGAAAAATAATATTTTTACTATTTATATTATGATCAATTTATTTTAAATTTGTTAACTATTGAATCTAAATTGTGATTCTATAAAAATGTACTACACTTTTTATGTAAATGTGACTATTGTTTTTATTTATATTTATATTTATTATTTTTTTGTAAACTTCTGTGATCTCTATAATCTTATATATATATTGTCTTATTGTGTTATATAGTTATTTTCCTTTGTTGCGTTTGTTAATTAAACCTGTTAAATAAAATGGATATATATTTTTTTAAATTAAAGAATTATTAATATATTGTCAACTAAATTACCTATATAACACCATATTAATTTAGGTTGTCTATAATTTTAATCTCTTAAATGTATATGATGTATACTTTAAGGTTAGTGTTGGTATTAGTAGAGTCCACTCTGACTAACCTAACCTAACCACCCTGACAATATTTTTTTCATTTTTGTCTGAATGTGAAAATGGTTCCAATAACATATTAAAATATTATAGTGTCGTACCTATTTTGGTTTTTGATAAAAAAAAATACGAGAATATTAACGACTATATAACAATATAACATATTATATAATAGATATACAGAATATTATACAGACACTATAATACTATACTTTTTGCCTTTTGATTATTATATAACATACATTTATACTTATACAGTTGGTCATAAAAAATATTATATAATATCGAATATTAACTATTTGATGATGATAGCCATTGACCCGCATAAATAATAAAATATTAAAATAATTAATTTTATGGTACGCTCCTGGCAGGTACAATAAGTACATTATTTTTTATCTTATTCGTATAGGTAGATTGCTGTTTTATAAATACGACTGACGTCATGAGTTAACCAGTAATCACACTATCATATATCAGTAATCACACTTTCACAGTATATTTAAACGTTATATTATGTTATTTAAGATAAACGTTTAATGATTMAAATTTCAAAACGAAAACATCGAGAACGTCATTCATAATATTATTACATTGGTATTCGACTGTTGTATTGACTATTGGTCGTGCGAGTGATTATTACGCCGATCACCGACAGATTCGCACTCGCGGAAGCCGGCCGACAGAAAGACCAATCTACGMAGACATGGCGTCGGCGACTAGAAAATTGGCAATAGTGACGGGCGCCAACAAGGGCATCGGGTACGCCATCGTGAAGGCCCTGTGTGAGCGGTTCGACGGCGATGTTTACCTGACAGCCCGTGACGTCGGTAGGGGCCAGGCCGCGGTCGAGGAGCTGAAYAAGCTGGGCCTGAAGCCCAAGTTCCATCAGCTAGACGTGGCCGACACCGGTAGCGTGGCCGCGTTCGCCGCGTTCGTGGCCGAGAATTACGCGGGCATCGACGTGCTGGTCAACAACGCTGCGATTGCCTTCAAGGAGTCCGCGACCGAGCCGTTCAGCGTACAGGCCGAAGAAACGATTCGGATCAATTACTTTGCACTGCGGAGCGTATGCGACGCGCTGTTCCCTTTGCTAGKTGCCGGTGCTCGTGTGGTAAATTTGTCCAGCTCTGCCGGCCGACTGTCAATAATTCCGAGCGAAGAGCTCAGACGAACACTGTCCTCGCCTCAGTTGACCACTGACGAGCTGGACTCTCTGATGCGCCAATTCGTGGAGAAAGCCAAGAGCGGCAATCACGAACAGTTCGGTTGGCCATCGTCAGCGTACGCCGTGTCCAAGGTCGGTGTTAGCGCACTGTCATTTATACAACAGAGGGAATTCGATGTAGACCCCAGGACAGACATCGTGATCAACAGCGTCCACCCTGGCTACGTGGACACGGACATGACCAGTCACAAAGGRCCGTTAACCATCGAAGAGGGGGCTGATGCTCCGGTCTACTTGTCTCTGTTGCCTGCAGGTGAACAAAATTTTAAAGGCCGCTACGTCTGGAATGACAGATCCATTAAGGACTGGAACAATTCTTAAATCACATGTAAACATCTAAACACTTTTGTATGATGGAGGTATACTTTTTGATTGCATTATCCATTGATGTTTTGTTAATATTCCAAAAGTAACTATTTTCTACACATATTTACAATCCATACATATATTTTGTAAACTTATTTTTTTTT